ATTTGAGTTTGAGATAGCTACAAAGGGTACCACATGCACGATTATTAACAGCACATCACATAACAATTGTGCCAAATATTATCACCTGTAAAGTAATGCTGTCCTGCAATTTCAAGTAACACTGTGTAGATAATAGCCCACAGAGATGTTAACAGTATCCATGAGTTAAAGAACACAAACCTTTACAATCGATGGCTAGAATTACAGTAATTAAATTTATACGGTTAAAAATGATTCCAGCTACTAGAAGACAAGAAAATTATATAAACAAACAGCAAGTTCACAACATACACATAAGGAAAAATAAAGTAGTCAAAGAAGGGTTTTGAGGGAACAAATGTGCTTAGAGGGGTTTAAATAGTCTAAAAAATGACAAAGGGAAAAATTGTACAGTATAAAATGGCTAATATTGATCTACTACTCTGATCCCAAGCAAATTATAAATCTTGTTCAAGAACTGTGTCAGTAATTCTAATTTTATTCCTGCTAGGAAATTTTACGAACGTGGTGGGAAATTAGTAAATTATTACCACGTGAGCACATTGAGAGTGCATACTTATTAGGATCCTTGAAACACAAAAAAGACAACTTACAGTTTTAGCATATTTTTGATAAATATGTTATACACACTGGGTTTAAAAAAGACAACAGAAAAAAACATTCTGTGCTAGTCACTCTGTGTCACAAATCATCCAGGAACGGGTTTAGATGTACGTAGTAGGGTTTTCATAATGCTTTTAATACACAGAAACAGTAAATTCTAGAAGAAAAATTTCAGGAACATGCAAATTTTAACTAGATTAGAAAACTTGACTGAGCAAATTAGCTAATTTAGAACAAAATCTTTGAAAAGTATTCCCAGACATTTGCATGATTACGACGAAAACACATTTTTAAAACAAATAACAAAAAATTCTTGAAGATCGGAATGCATTACAAGTCAGCTACTGATGCGAGTATCATAGGTAATAAGCGGAAAGTGGGATAGAGTTATAAATGTTGCGCAATTACATTTTAAGCTGTTAACAAATTTCAAAACACCAGCTTCACTGCCAAATTGCATTTTGGGAAACAATCGATCAACGTTGCATCAAATTAAAAAGGAAAATAACCACAACAAAAGTAAAACCCTGTAGGCCTGAGAAATTTTATCGGTTGGGGAATGGATGGAATTCACACTTGCAAAAATGAAGGCCAACATTAAACAAAGTTGGAAAGAAGGCTCGAATTATACTGTCAAGAACAGCATTGAAGTGAACTTAAATAGAGAAATAGAATGTTAAAAAAACTTTATACACTACGCTGAACATAACAAAGGTAAGTTAAAATACACTTTCAATTTAGGGTTTGGCAAAATGATTTAGAATAAATACAAGAAAATACGTACTTCAGGTTTTGGTAAGTCGAAAAGTTGGAATTCAAATAGTCCATCTTATCCTTAAGGGTTCCAAGTGCTGCAGACTCCACATCTAATACATCTTCGATTTTCATTTTGTTCTCTTTGTTTGATATTTTAGCACGCTCATTTGCACTTGAAGTAAAATGCAATCAAATTATTTGGAATTACTGTAGCAAGTTCTCTGCCCCTCTTTTGATACGTAGAGCCTTGTTAATATCCGGAATTATCTCAGATTTTTTATGATGCAACTCTGTCCGTTTAGTAACGTATCGGCTATCTTCACTCTAAACGTTTAAATAGCATTTGGCAATGAAGCTTACTCGTTTTCGTAATGCAATGGTTGGACAGTCATCAGATGCTGTAGACTGAAATATGTCGACATTACCATCTTCATCTGGCATAATAAACCTCGACAGCCTTATAACTGTGAAGCACCCCTGTTTTGCTCGTGGCAAATGGAATAACTAGTACTTTGTTCCACGCGGTATTTATTTAACCCTGAATGTGAATACCTATAACAAAAGAAAACCATTTAGGCGAAAATTAATTTCATTGTTATAGCCTAAAGTTTTAAGATTCAAGTTTACTTTTAATATTTTTGATTGTGTAATGCTTTTTACCGGAATACAATGAAAATTAAATAGTGAAATGTACTTTAGTCATACATCAATTATATTATACGTCTAATTGCACGGATCGTGTTTAGTACCGCAGTTCAAAAGACCATTTCTATTACACAACTTTAGTGTTGCAGTGTGATGTTAGATCCTAAGTGAAAGGACATAAATATCCAAAATACAAATAAAATGATAAAAATATTCAAGTGCGGATGATAATACTTTCAAATATGATGAACTACCATGACACTGTCTGACAGCAGGCATGAAATCAACAGGACCACAAGGTTAATTTAATCGTAGAGAGTTGTAGTTACTCATTATCGGGTGGATTAACAGAAGTAGGTAATAGTTGCAACACAAACACACGTATCTTCGAATGAAGTCAAAAAATCAAACATCAAGCACTTTTTGAAAATAGTTTTTCGAAGCACAAGTGGAAAGAAATAAAAAGTTTCCTTTTAAATTTTTTTGGAAGGCAGTATAATAGCCCGCATAATGTTAGGCCATGAATAGAAATATATCATGTTTACCGCATATTTACGACTCCTTTCATTTTTTCTCCTTTCAAGTCAACAAACTGTTTAAATGCATTTAACTATAAAGGCAGCAGAAAAAAATCGTCAGGCCTGTTAAACTACACAGCCATAAATCGTACGAGATATTTGAAATCTGGCTTAATTTACAGTAATCTTGTTACCGTCAGTGTGAACTCAAATTAATTGCAGGTGAATGGCTTCAACCTACAATTTTTTTATTGTAGCAACGAAATACGATTTTTGTACAAAATATTACAATTTCGGAAATTTACGGTTGTTAGTAAGACATTATATCACAAGCAATTTAAAATTTGGCGGCATTTACAAGGCCCGTCGTATTCAGAGGCAAAATATAAACACTGAACATTTATATGTTATTTTCAACAATGCCAATGTTTCTAATCAACATAATGCATATTTTCACCTCTTCACAAATAAAAAACTCTTAGAGATGTATTTTAAATAGTTTACTATTTCATACACTAGTGTAATAGGACTTGATTAGTTTCAGAGATATTCGTGGTTGTTATGTAGGTTAATGCCAATGGGTGAAAAAATCAAAGTCCTATTTATTCATATACCCAGAGAAAGACCATTATACATAATTCTCAGGACTTTATAATGGCACAGAGAACACGCCTTAGACATAAATCTGATAAAGCCAAACTTCATTAAATAAAATCTTTAGGATGGAATGGCGTAGTACACGGGACTTTAATGGCATTCAATTTTTACCTACACTGATTCAAAGAAAATGCCACCATTTTTTACAGTTTGTTTTCCCATGAAATTTTTTTTATTTAATTTTCAAATAACAACAAATTGATAGCGTTTGAAATAGCATTTATTTCAGGCGACATGAAAAAATTGTTTTGATAGACAATACATTACGAAACAAGGGTTGATGGTTTATAATTTACAGTATGTACGTTGATGCGAAATTGTCCACCACACATTATTTTATTTTTAAAAGTCCTCCTTGGTATTATTTATAAAATAAATTTAATTAGTTCATGCGATTCCATTGTATGCATCTTGGTTCCAATTAAAGTTAACTCAATCAATGTTACATAATTTTATAAAAATACTGCATAAGAGTGCCGTTACGCTGCACCATTATACGTCTGAAAATGTGGGACCTGTAATGGACGTAAAATCAGACGGCTTCTACCTAAAAATCGGAAAAAGAAAATTAATAATGCTGTTAAATAAGCGTAGGGCTGCTACAAAATTTTTGCTATGCGATGTCTACGACAGATGTTCCAAAGCCTGAATAGGAGAAAAATTAAGTTCTATAGTGTCTAAACAGGGTTGTGCGGGTGTTGAGTACGCTAGATATAAATACGTTCTTTATTTTCCAGCCTGCCTTAATATAAATATAAAAAAATGAATTTGCGATTCGAGTTGCTATTTTTAGCGGTAACTGGGTCTTAAGTGCTTTGAAATAAGGCGACCTGCATAATGAATTGATCGAAACAACGAATTTCCCCACGATTCACACCATGGAATACGGTAACACGTGCTTTATTTTAATTAAATTTAGAAGTCAGTAAATTAATGCGCAACAAAAAGAACCCAAAAAATTTCTAAGGTTCATATGACATTAGAGTTAAAGGAAAGTGTCAAATTTACGTTAATTTTGTATGCTACTCAGGAAATTGGCCAATTCTGCCTTACGATGTCGAAAATAAAAATACGTCCCTAAAAGCACAGCATCTGACGCTAGGTTAAGGCGGAATAAATGTTTGCACCGGGCTAATACCTTCTTTTTTGAAAATTAACATAACGAATAAATGCTGTAGTTGACTGACAGCCACTTCGCGTGCGTGTTGGGTGCATGCTGATCCGAGTGTACCAATGACTCACCCCTTATGTTATTGGCCTCTGTTAGCATTCGCCTGTTAGGCACGCGTACTCATGCGCACACAGTCACTTAGCTGGTGTGACACTAATGAACAGTCGTGTTCTTT